TGTGTATTCTTTTCGGAGCTACCGCCAGGTGGGTGTGGGGTCCTGAGTCTTATTGGGAGAGGTGGCTTGCCAAGTCCAGGGGAATGTTATATGGGGGTGGCAGTGTCATGTGTCCCCTCCCTACAGTAGGTTCTTGACCTCTGGGCAGTCCTTGCTGTCTGCTCCACCTCTGAGGACTTGAAACATGCCTGCCAGAGGTCAGCTGTGGTAGTCAGGGTTATTTTTAAAGTTGCCTTCTGTTAGCAGGAAGGAGAGGGCCCTGACTGCCTGTCTGTGCCCCCAGATTGGCATCCTGAAGCCACATCCAGCCTTTGTGCAGCTTCTGGCAAAAGCAGCAGAGCCTACACTGACCTTTGAGACTGTGGACGTGCCTATGCTGTGCCCACCCTTGCCCTGGACCTCCCCTCACTCTGGTGCCTTCTTGCTGAGTCCCACCAAGCTGATGCGCGCAGTTGAGGGTACCACGCAGCACCAGCGGCTGCTGGAGCGCTGCCCACCTGCTGAGCTCCATGGCGCCCTAGATGCTCTCACACAGCTGGGCAACTGTGCCTGGCGTGTCAATGGGCGTGTGCTGGATCTGGTGCTGGAGCTCTTCAGGGGCAAGGGCTGCTCCCACCTTGGTGTGCCGCCCCCAGCCTCTGAGGCTCCTCGACCACCGGAAGGCCATCTGCCACCTGATGCCCCACCTGCCCGTAAGGCTGAACTGCGGCGGGAACTAGCCCGCTGCCTGAAGGTGGCCCGCGAGATGCACAGCTTACGTGCAGATGCCCTGTACCGCCTCTCACTGGCCCAGCATCTGCGGCACCACATCTTCTGGCTGCCTCACAACATGGACTTCCGTGGCCGCACCTATCCCTGCCCACCACACTTCAATCACCTGGGCAGTGACTTGGCACGTGCCCTGCTCGAGTTTGCAGAGGGCCGCCCACTTGGACCCCATGGCCTTGATTGGCTCAAGATCCACCTGGCCAACCTCACTGGGCTCAAGAAGCGTGCGTCACTACACGAACGCCTGGCCTTTGCAGATGAGGTGATGGATGACATCCTGGACTCTGCGGACCAGCCTATGATGGTAGGGGCTCCCAGCCATGAGGCACAGCCCCCTCCCTGCTGTCCATCCCCACCACTGTCACTGTCTGTCCCAGCCACTGCCCTCTGGCCTTTCAGACTTAATCATTGCTCTTCCCTTGGAACCTCAGGACAAACTGCCAGTCAAATCCTTTTCCTTTTCTTCTGATCTTTCTGCCCCAGTCCATCAACAGCTCCTACCCAAAGTAGCTATCCCATGCCCGTAGCCTTTGCCCTCCCTAGGAACTTTCTTCTGTCCACAGTCTTCTCCCCACCTAGAATCTTCATTTATCCATAGCCTTCCTCCCCCAAACAAGGCCTTCTCTCTATCCTGTGGCATCCAGGCCATCGTTCCTGTATCTTGTCCAGTTTGCCAGTTTGGTCTTGTGTGTTCTCCCTGTTTCTCCATTTCACCTGGGCTTCAGGAACCCCTGGCCTCACTTGATGCCACCCATCTGTCCTCCTCAGGGCCGGAAGTGGTGGATGGGGGCAGATGAGCCCTGGCAAGCCCTGGCCTGCTGCATGGAGATCGCTAGGGCCGTGCGTACCCCCAACCCTGCCACCTACGTCTCCCACCTTCCTGTTCACCAGGTGGGCCCTGGGCTTGTACCCTCGCTGATGCTAATGTTTGTGGAGTGTGCTCTGTCAATCAAGGTTGAGTTTAAGTCAGTGGTTCTTAACATGTGGGTTGCAACCCACAGGAACTGTATTAAAGGGCCATGGCATTAGGAAGGTTGAGAATCACTGGTTTAAATGTTAAGGTATTCCTGGTCGTGACATTCGGCATTTGAGATTTCACTTTAGAACATGGGTATCTTTTGGGGATGGCAACAGTCTTGCTGTGTAGCCTTGGGCCCCAGAAGGGTGCAGGGTTCAGGGGCTACTTCCCTGCTGTAACTGGATTTTGGGATGTGTGGCTCTAAGAATTGCTCAACCTTGGGGTCATTTGGGGGTCGCCATACCCTTGTTTCTCTTGAATCCTTTTCTCCTTTGTACTTGGGGCTGGCCCCTGTCTCCCAATGTTGGCATCCAGTGGAGCTCACAGTGTGAGCAGAGCCCTTGGGGGGAACAGAGTCATGGTCTCTGTTTTGTGGATACCTCACCACCATAGTGTCCTGTCTGCCATTCCAGGATGGGTCCTGTAATGGTCTGCAGCATTATGCCGCCCTGGGCCGTGACAGTGTAGGTGCTGCTTCTGTCAACCTGATGCCATTGGATCTGCCACAAGATGTGTACAGCGGGGTGGCTGCACAGGTGGGCACCATGGGCCCCTCCCACTTGCTGCCCACCTGTGATCTCAGATGTGGCAAGGACATAGGCCCTTGAATCAGTGCCCACAAGCATTGGGCATGGCAGACCCCCAGTGATCCCATGGTGACCCCATGGCCTTGGCCTATGCCCTATGCCCGGGAGTGTGATGAGAGCTCTGTAGGGAGATGTCAAGGGCTGGGCAGTCCCAGGCTGCCTCACATGGCTCTGACGGCTGCCTGCTGATGCAGGTGGAAATATTCCGCAGACAGGATGCCAAGGAGGGCTTGCAGGTGGCCCAGGTGCTGGAGGGCTTCATCAGCCGCAAGGTGGTCAAGCAGACAGTGATGACTGTAGTCTACGGGGTCACCCGATATGGTGGGCGCCTGCAGATTGAGAAGCGCCTCAGGGAACTCAGTGACTTCCCCCAGGTAGCACGTGGGCCTATGACCTTGGGAAATGCTTTGGTTTCACCCTAGACCAGCCTTCTGGCTTCCTGCAGACTACTGTCTGCTCCTGGGCTGGGGCTCATCTCCCTCAGCTGTCTCATGTCAGCTCCCCGGATTTCATCTTCTACAACCCTGTACCCCTGGGGGGTATGAGTGGGCCAGCCCTCCCCCACCCGCCCCCAGCCCACCCACAGACTTGCCTCCCCAGGAGTTCGTGTGGGAGGCTTCTCACTACCTTGTGCGTCAGGTGTTCCACAGCCTCCAGGAGATGTTCTCAGGCACCCGGGCCATCCAGGTGAGCCTGTCCTGCCCCTACTGGGGCTCAGGACCATGGCTCTCCCAGGTGGGGGTGGGGTATCTGTTGGGTGGAAGCCCTGGTCTGAGATGGCCCTTGCCCACAGCACTGGCTGACTGAGAGCGCCCGCCTCATCTCTAATGCAGGCTCAGCGGTGGAATGGGTCACGCCGCTGGGCATTCCCATTGTCCAGCCCTACCACCAGGACTCCAAGGTCTTGGTATGTGAACCCCTGGCCCCCTTCACACTGGGTTGGGCCTGGCATGGGCCTCACAACTCCCTCTGCCCTGCCTTCAGGTCAAAGGAGGGATTCAGAGCATCACCTGCAACAGTGGCAAGGACAGCAGCCAGTGAGCCAGGGCCTGGGCAGGGTACTGGGTGGGACTGTGGGCATGGACTGGACCCCTAGCACCCTTTCTTTGTCCCCCAGGAAGCCCAACACACTAAAGCAGAAGAATGGGTTCCCCCCTAACTTTATCCACTCTCTGGACTCCTCGCACATGATGCTCACGGCCCTGCATTGCTACAGGTGGGGACCCTGCTTTGCAGGCCTTCAGGATGGGAGAGGTACCCCTGATTCATGTGTGCCTGGTCCTCAGGGACAGTGTCCAGAGGGATAGGGCAGGATCTGGGGGCAGAGATCTGCACTTGGTGAGGACTCTGGCCATATCTTGGCCCTGGTGCCCAGAGGAGGAACAGCCTGTGCAAGGACTGGTTTGCTGGGTGGGCCAAGGAGGGGTGAAGGTGGCCTTTAAAGTTCCTACACAACAGGGTCCCTGTGGCCATGCAGGGAGAGCAGGGTGCAGGCTCTGCCCTTCAGGTTCAAGGGCACCTGGACTTTGTCCTGACATTATCCACAGGCCATGTGAGGGATAGAGGGATGATCTGGATTTCTATCCTGGGCACTGGGTGAGGGGCAGCCAGAGGGGCAGAGGTGTGAACAGTCCTGCCAGGGACATCCACTGCTGTGTGGTAGCAGACAGAGCCCTGGGATGGGAGGGGTGGAGAACAGTGCAGCCACCCCATAGAGGGCGCTGGAAGCCTGCTGTACTCTGGAGGGCGATGGGGCTTCCTGAGAACCTTTTCAGTCACAAGGGTAAAGCCCATGCTTGCTGTGGTGGGGGAGGCTTGGCGGAGGATGGGTGTTCCTGGGGTCTGAAGGAGGCCTCTCCTGCGGGTGGGCACATGGCCAGCCCTCCTCACGGGCCCCTTTGATGCAGGAAGGGCCTCACCTTTGTCTCTGTCCATGACTGCTTCTGGACCCATGCTGCTGATGTCCCCGTCATGAACCAGGTACCCCTGGCTCTGTGGTGGCCCAAGCATGTCTGCTCTCTAGTGGCTTCACCTAGGTTTGGGGCAGGCTGGTGCCAGGCCCTCCCTGACCTGGTGCTTACACCTACTTCCCCAGGTGTGCCGGGAGCAGTTTATCCATTTGCACAGCCAGCCCATCCTACAGGACCTATCCAGGTTCCTGGTGAAGCGATTCTGTTCCAGCCCCAGGTGAGGCCTCCTCTACCCACCTCTTGGTGCCCCATCCCTGTGCCTCTGTGGGGATTCACCTCCACTTGCTTTTAGCCTCCAGCACCAGAGCCTAGTCCAGCGGGTGCAGATCACTAAGCTGATGGAGATGCTGCAGTCTGTGCCTGAGACAGGTAGGGTAGCGGGGACGGGTGGCTCTCTGACGGTGGGAACAGGGCCTCCCGGCCTCCACTTCTTGTGCCCATACCCATCTCTTTCCTCCACAGGGGCCTTTGACTTAGAGCAGGTGAAGCAATCCACGTACTTCTTCAGCTGATGTCCCTAGGCTTATAGTGGGACCAAACCCACTGTGTACCATATTGTAAATAAAGTTAAGTTGTCACCCACAGGAGCTGATGCCTTCTGGAAGAGACGCCCAGCCACCTAGGGCCCAACCCCAAGCAATCAGACACTGCAGGCTGGGCGCCAATGCTGTCGTTTATTGCGCGGAATGGGAGTGTGAAGGTTAATGGGGCGGGGGGCCGCGGTGGGGGCGCTGCTTCCTCGCCTCATCAGTACATTCATCACCACGTTGAACCCCGGCCTTGCCCTCACGGCCAGGATGGCCCACCCCTCTCCTGGCGCGGTGCTGGGAGCTTCCCACTCCAGGGAGGGCACCATGGGGCACACAGGGACAGAGCCAGGCCGGTTATTGCGTGAGCGCGGTGGGGGCAGCAGGAAGCCAGCAGGCCAAGTATTGCACTTAAAAAACAATCCTCATCGTAAAGCCACCTAAGAGGTGGGGGCGGGCTGGACTGCACAGCCGTCTCCTCCAGGCCACCGGCCACCCCTTTCCCACCTTACAGTTGGGGGTACTGAGGCACCGAGGTGAAGAGAGCCCCTCGCACGCACGCGCACACGAGGCTGGGGGGATGGGGGCCAGGGGCAATGGGGGTGGGCGCAGGGCGGTGAGGGGTGATGGCTGGGGGTTTGGAGGAGGCTCCCCCGCCAGCCTAGCCCGCCCATCCGACTACAACTACCTACTGTCTCTATGGCTTCTGGGGCGGGCAGGCGCGGGGCAGCGCGCAATGGCATGGCTTTGGTCTGAATGACAGGCCACCCCTGGCCAGCCCTGGCCGAGGGGCGGCATGGCGAGGGTCACAAGTTGGACGAGAGGCGCGAGCGCGCGGAGTCCAGCGGGTCGAGGCCACCGGCAGCGCCGGGCGAGGCCGAGTCCCTGCGGTCCGGACTGGGCGCAGCGGCCCGTGCTGCGGGCGCGGGCCCCAGGCGTGGCGTGGAACTGCTGGCTGGGCGCGCTGAGGCCGTGGGGCCGGGCGCCCCGTGGGGCAGCGAGGGCTGTGAGGCGGACAGCGGGCGAGACGCGCGACTCAGGCGGCGTGCAGGCAGGGCAGGCCCAGCCCGGGGAGCAGCAGGCGAGCCGGGCGTGCCGCCATAGGGCAAGGTCCGCGGCACCCGAGGGCTGGCAGGCGCGCCCGGGGGGCTGGTAGGGGCCGCGGGCCCGGGCGAGGCAGCAGGCGCGGGCCCTGGGGGCAGACGGCGCACGAGGCGTGGCGAGCCCAGGGCCAATGGCCCGACAAGCGGGCGCGCCACCTGTGGGCAGAAGCTCATGGCCACAGCCTGCTGCAGCGTGGCAATGGCCGAGGTAACCTGTGGTGGTGGTGGAGGCGGGAAGAGGCCAACGCGCTGACCTAGCTCGGCCTGCTGCACCATCTCACGGTCATACTTGACGATCTCCTGGATGATGGCGTTCTCCTGGTTGTTGAACACGCCCGAGTTGAGGTCGTGCTGCACCTTGTGGAGCAGGATCGAGTTCTTCTTGCCTGCAGTGGAGGCAGCATCAACACAAGGTTGTATCTACCACAGAGGCTTGCTGTGCGCAGTGAGCACACACTAGCACCTACTATGTACGGCACATGTGGCTATGTACAGGCACATGTGGAGTGCCTTCTGTGTAGAGCAAGCAGGTGTGCCTGCTGTATACATAGAAGGACTACAGTGTACAGGCTGAGCACCTGCTGGGTAGAGCAAGCATATCAAGTGCCTGCTGTATATAGCAAACAGGTATTGAGCATCTATTGTATAGAACAAGAACACATGTAGCCCCTCCTGCCTACAGGGCCTAGGTGCAGAGTACCTGCTGTGTGCAGGGTGAGTGCCTGCTATGCAAAACAAGCAGGTATTGAGTGCTTACTAAATAAAATGAGGACATAAGGAGCACTCTCTGTCTATAAGAAACACATATTGGGTACCTGCTGTATAATAGAAAACAAGTAGTACTTTGTATAGCTATACACATGGGGCACCTTCTGCATACAGCAAGCATGTATTTGAATACCTACTGTTTACATGGAGGAGGCATCACTCTAAACCAAGTATGCAAATGCATCTCCTATATACAGGAATCATATATTGAGTGCCTGTAGCATTCAAGAGTGCCTAAAGTATTCAAGAAGCATACCCAGAACACCTGGCTATACCAAGTGCTGAGTACCTACTGTATATAGCAAGTATACCAAAGCACCTGCCATTCATAAATCTGTTGAACACTACTGCATCGAGCAAATTGTTGAATGCCTGTCACATACAAACCTGTTGAGTGTTTTTGTTACTAGCAAGCACCCTAGCACCTCTCCTCCCTATCCAGCCTAGCTTTTCCAGCTACTGTCTTCATTTCTCCAAATAGCATCAGGGTCACCATCTCCCTGGCTCCTGCATCCAGTTGTCAGCAAGTCCTGAGGGCACCACCTCTCAGTCACCTAAGGGGTCCTCCACCACTCCTTGTCCTGAGATGGTCCACCCCCAGGCCACTACTCCCACCTGGACAATGTGCCCTTGTAGAAAGCAAATCTGATCAGGTTACCCCTACCTAGAACCTGGCAGGGCTCTGTAGTGCTCCTGATTTACAGTAGATCCTATGTGTCTGGTCTCCCACCTGCCTCCCCAGCACCCTTCTCCTAGGCTTCCCTAGCTGTAGCTTCCAGGCCTCCTTCCCACTTCAGGGCCTTGCCTGCAGTGGAGGCAGCATCAACACAAGGTTGTATCTACCACAGAGGCTTGCTGTGCGCAGTGAGCACGCACTAGCACCTACTATGTACAGCACATGTGGCTATGTACAGGCACATGTGGAGTGCCTTCTGTGTAGAGCAAGCAGGTGTGCCTGCTGTATACATAGAAGGACTACAGTGTACAGGCTGAGCACCTGCTGGGTAGAGCAAGCATATCAAGTGCCTGCTGTATATAGCAAACAGGTATTGAGCATCTACTGCATAAAACAGGTCATGCTGTGCACAGGCTGCAGCCCCTAAGTCAGCCTTGTGGCCCACCATCTGCTCCTCCAGCATACTGCAGGCACTTGACAAATGAGCATAATTGCAAACACTCCATGCTTTCTCTTCCTTAGGAAACCCAGGCTGTGTCTGGCCAGAGTAGGATGGTAGGTCAGAGGATCAGTTAGAATTCAAATGAACCTGGAGGGCCACCAGCCACATCCCTCCTGTCACAGCCTGATTCCCTCCCTTCATGGATGGCCAACTCACCAATGCGGTCTAGACGGTCAATGGCGACGGTCTCAAAGGCACGTCGCATCATGGGGTATTCTTCCAGCACCTCATTGAAGTTGTCCACACTCAGTGAGTAGAGGCGGCAGTAGGTGTCAGCCCGCACACTGGCCGTGCGCCGGCCCCGAGTGAGCAGGCAGATCTCTGCATGTGGCCAAGAGAAGGCATCTCAGCTGTGAGGTAACACCCACTGCCCCAGCACACTCCCAGGACCCTCCCCACCCCAAGAGCATGGTCCAGCCTCTGCACCTAGGCAGGCACTGGCCTTTCTACCAGAGGCTACTCCTGACACCTGTCCTAGCCACAGTCCACACTCCTATTGGTGCCACACGGAGTGAAGACAGTTCCCCACCTTGCCCTTTGCATTGCTGCAAAGGCTGCAGCTCTGTTCCCCACAGGCTCACCCCCAAAATAGGAGCCATCAGACAACTTCATTTCCTTGTTGCCCTTGGTGAGCACGCTAACCACGCCATGCTGGATAAAGTACATCTTCTTGCCAATGGTGCCCTCACGGATGATGTAGTCACCCGGCTGGAAGACTTCAAACTTGAGTTTGGTCAGCATGGCTGTGACAAAGTTGGGGTCAGCATTGGCAAACAGTGGCATTGAAGCCACCAGCTTCCGGCAGTTGAAGTTGACAATCTCCTGTTGGGGTGGAAGCATGGGTGGTGTCAGGGTGTGGCTCTGGCTCTTGGTTTTTTCTTATTCTTCTTTTGGGACTGTTTTGTCCCTGGGACCTTCAGTTTCCTTATCTGTGAAATGGGTCTAACACTGTAATGTGACACTCAGCATCTTTTTTTTTTGTTTTTTGTTTTTTTGAAACAGAGCCTCTGTTTGAAATAAGCTACTGCCTTGGGTAGAGTGCTGTGATGTCACAGCTCACAGCAACCTCCAACTCCTGGGCTTAAGCGATTCTCTTGCCTCAGCCTCCAGAGTAGCTGGGACTACAGGCACCTGCCACAATGCCTGGCTATTTTTTGGTTGTAGTTTTCAGTGTTTGGCAGGCCTGGGCTGGATTCGAACCTGCCAGTTCTTGTGTATGTGGCTGGCACCTTAGCCGCTTGAGCTATAGGTACCACCTAGACACTCAGCATCTTTTCTTTTCTTTTTTTTTTTGGCCGGGGCTGGGTTTGAACCCGCCACCTCCAGCATATGGGGCCAGCACTCTAGTCCTTTGAGCCACAGACGCTGCCCGACACTCAGCATCTTAACAGGCAAACACTGAAATTTTCACCACCAAATCAAAAGTAAGAAAATCTGGCCGGGTGAGGTGGCTCACACCTATAATTCTAGCACTCTGGGATGCCAAGGTGGGTGGATCTGCTGAGCTCACAGGTTCAAGACCAGCCTAAGCAAGAGCCAGACTCCAGTCACTAAACATAGCTGGGTATTGCGATGGGCACCTGGAGTCCAGATACTTGGGAGGCTGAGACAAGAGAATTGTTTGAAGCCAAGAGTTAGCACTATACAGAGGATGACAAGTAAGACTGTTTAAAAAAAAAAAAAAGCAAGAATATCCTACTACTTAACGTTTTTTTTGGAGTGCCTAGTGCAATTAGACAAGAAAAAGCAATTACATATATAAGAATTAGAAAGGAAAAACAACAACTCATTTTGCAGATAATATGACCACTTGGAAAGCCTGAAAGAATCGATGGAAAACTCCAACAGATAAGATAGCAGGTAATATAAAAAAAAAAGTCAACATGAAAATCAAGGACTTGGCTCGGCGCCTATAGCTCAACCGGCTAAGGCGCCAGCCACGTACACCTAAGGTGGCAGGTTCGAATCCCCA